CCCACTTTTCCTACACCTTTAGCCCTTTTCTTCCTATTTCACATTTTTAATTATCCCATTAGGCTCTTGTGTACTATTATAGTTTTTCACATCAGAGAAACTATTCGGTTTACACATATGTGACTTATTTATTTCACTTAGGAGTATATCCTCAATATGTATCCATTTTCCTATGAATGAATCTATTTTCTCATTCTTTATGGCTAAGTAATATTCCATTTTATAGAAAAACCACATCTTCTTTATCCAGTTTCCGACTGATGGGCAGATGGGCTGTTTCCAAGTTTTAGCTATTACAAACTGTGCTGCTATAAACATTGGTGTGCATATATCACTATGCTATGATTCTTTTGGAAAGATATCCAGCAGAGGGATGGCTGGGTCAAATGGAACCTCTAGTCCCAGCTCTTTGAGGTATCTCCATATTGATTTCCGTAGTGGTTGCACCAGTCTGCAGTCCCACCAACAATGGAGAAGGGTTCCTTTCTCTCCACAACCCTGCCAACATTTGTTATTGTTTGATTTCTTGATAGCAGCCATTCTTTGTGGGGTGAGGTGGAATCTCAGTGTTGTTTTCATCTGCATCTCTTGAATGACCAGTGATGTGGAACATTTTTTCATATATTTACTTGCTGCTTTTTACTTCTTTGTCTGAGAAATATCTGTTCATTTCAGATGCCCATTTTTGAATTGGGTCTTTATATTTGGGGGGCTGATTATTTTGAGCTCTTTATATATTCTAGATAATAGTCTTTTGTCTGAGGAGCAGCTGGTAAAAAATTTTTTCCCACATTGTAGGTTGTCTCTTAGTTCTGTTGATGGTTTCTTTTGCAGTGCAGAAGTCTTTTAATAAGATGAGATCCCAGTTGTTGATTTACAGCTGGGGAAATGCAGAGCACTTGGTAGTGGAAGAGGTCCTGAGGCTTAAGTGCACTAGTGCACTATTCAGGCTCCACTCTGTTTCACAGGGGACCTCCTGACATGCAAGTGGCTGCAGATTCCAGGGAGCTCTTTGGAACCGTTTCTCTTCTGCTCACACCCAACTTACTGGGTACCTGTTATTGAACATTCCTCAAAGTGCAGTTTAGATCAGAAAGTCTGACAGTAGCAAGTTTAGATCATGAGATTGCTATTTTACACAAATATTCAGAGGTAGCTAATTGAAACATTGTTCAGTGTGGTGTTATAATAGCAGTGAAGCTTTGTGTTAGCTTTGTGGATGGTGAGATTGGCAGGGTTATTAGATGGCCAGTTTGAAACTTGACCCCACAAAGTATAAGGTTAGCTCTTGCAGAACTAATCTTAAAACATACACAACCTCGCTATATTTCCTCATCTTACATTCATTGGTTAACTGCATTAAGCACATTAACACTAGATATTTAAGAAGGAAGTGGGGTCCATTTGTTGTGCTCATGGGCAAAAGAGAAAATGAAGCATTTTCCAGAGCAAGCCTCCTGCCCATTTTCACCATCCCAGCACCATGGAGAAGTCTAAGGGGAACAATGTAGGCTCTTGAGATAGAAGTTGGAGTTCACCCCTATCTGTTCATCTTGCCTGTGCTTTGGGAGCTGCAAGGCAGTCAGTCTAGGGATGATGTCTCATAGGATGCGTATGATGCCATACAGAATGGCCCTAGCCATACCCCAGGCCCAGGCTCAGACCATAGAGAACCTCTCCAAGGAGCCGTCCTTCAGAGCGAACTGGACTATTTCATCAGATGCCAACAGCATCTCTGTCAGGAATTTATTTTGTCTGATATAATCCACACAAAGGGAGGTAACTACCCTACTCCCTTATCTCACTGAGAAAGACAAGCTCAGCAAATCAGATCATGTTTCTGGTCAGGGTCTTGCTGATCACTGTATAAATCTGTCTTCACATCCAGGGCACTCACTGAACGAACAGAGCAAAATGAAAGACTGATAAAAGGAAACAGGGAGATATATCTTTTGTAAAGGGGAAAGAGACCAAGAGACTGATGGTAGAGGGAAGAGAAAGAGGGAAGAGGATGGGGATGAAAGAAGATTTAAGATAGGTCATGTACATATATTTCATGTACATGTACCAACTACTCAAAATGAATATAATCATTATGGGTTGAAACTAAAAAGAAAATGGGGGTAAGGGGATCTAGAGAGAGAAGGAGGGAAATGAATGAGGAGGGAAGGAGGAATAAAAAGAATTAAGATATATTAAGTACATATACCTAATCCCTAAAATGATTCTGAACATCATATACTGAAAATGTAGTAATACAACAAACACAAAAAGCCCTAAATAATGTGGCTTTGATTTCTCTTTCTCCTTTTTCTCCTTCTTCCCCTTCTCCCTCCTACTTCCATCTCTCCCTTTCTCTCTTTCTATCTTTCCTTCAGAGCCAATATTTATCAAAATTTTTGTGTAAAGGACAAAATCTGCTCTGCTTTTTAAGAAATATTCCCTGCCTTCAGACAAGTCTGTTTCCTGATTTTCCTCACCTGTAAACTAGAGATTAGCCTCTCTGCCTCACAAGCTTGTTGAAGGAATTAATTGCGGAAGCATCTGCAAAAGTCCTCTGGTGTACCAGGTCCTTTCTGGGGGTTGGTTTCTTCCTTCTTCCTTTCCTTTTTTTTTTTCTTAAAAGCGCATTTTAACTCACCTTGCTTCACTGGACTATCTTACTAAGAGGAAAAGCAAATATTGTTATTCAGATTTCATCATAGAGAAATGACAGCTTCCAGAAAGTGACGTGGCATGTCCTAGGTCCCTGAAGGGTTGAGGAACAGCGTAGAAACCAAATGGAGGTCTGGCTGCTGGGACCATAGTCTTTCAACACTTTGCAGATATTGGCTTGATTTATGTTTTATTAAATGTGATTTACTAGAAAATTCTTAAAGATGTCCAATGATATTTCAACAATTGTGTGCTTATTAAGTGTTAGTAATCTTTTTAGGAATATTAAAAGAACCTCAGCTCTACTTTCTAAGATGCATAGAAGTGCAACTGATATACTTGAGCAATCCTTATCCCCAAATGCCCTTATTTAGCCAAATGGCTGAAGGTCACTTACTTTCTAATGCATAATCCTCTACTCGTCCTGCATTTGTTCATCTGTGGTGAGTCTGTTCTATTCACTATGACTGATGATCATATTCGTACTATATCTATTATCCACATGTAATTGCCATTAGAGCTCTCCTACAAGTGTCCTGTGCTCTAGGAAAAACCTTGATCTCTCCTCTTAATGTGGTTTGCAGAGATATGAAGTTATAAATTATACAGAATGTGTGTGTGTGTGTGTGAGAGAGAGAGAGAGAGAGAGGAAGAGAGAGAGGGAGAGAAAGAGAGGGAGGGAGAGAAAGAGAGAGAGGGAGATTAAATCTCTATTGGGAAAGATATACATACAAATTTTAAAGGAGCTGTTCTGTGCCTTAATATTACCTAGTGAAAAACAACTTCCATTATGTTGCAAAAGCAAAGCCCTCAAACACATTGAAGGGCAGATTGAAATCATCACTGAAAAATAATAGATACTGGAAATAAAATTATGCTGAGGCTTAACAATCATTGAAAGGAAAAATTTTCTGATTTATTACTCCCAGAATTATAAGAAGAAGAACACTTTGCAATTGAGTAAATTTTCTTCAAAAATTCCTTTTCGGCTGGGCATGGTGGCTCGCGCCTGTAATCCCAGCACTCGGAAGGCTGAGGCAGCAGGATCGCTGTGAGTTAGAGACCAGCCTGGGCTACATAGTGAGTTCCAGGTCAGTCTCAACTACACAGTGAGACCCTGTCTCAAAAAACCAAAAAAAAAAAAATTCCCTTGGGGAGAAGGAAAAAAACGCCTTCCCTCCACTGTACAGTGAAGCCCTATGATTGGGTACTTCCTCTAGGAAATACTCCCCCAAATTTTTTGTCCTAGCATTACATTGATGGACCATGTTGGAGTGCATTCCTTGAGCACTGCCTTGAAATCTTTCCCTGAATCTCAGTTAAAACTTCAATGCTGTAAACAAAGCTTAATGAGGATGTAAAGGATCAACATGTTGAATATAAATAATAATTTAATGTATCTATATTGAATAAAACAAATCCCAGTTTATTTAAAAGACAAGTGGGAAATTTGTACAATTGATTTGTTTTGTTTTTAATCCAGGATCTCCCAGTGAATATCAAGCTCATTCTGGAAGGGATGGAAGAAGCTGGTTCTATTGCCTTGGAGGAATTTATCAGAAAAGAAAAGGACCGATTCTTCTCTAGCGTGGACTACATTGTGATCTCAGATAATCTATGGCTTAGCAGGAGGAAACCTGCACTCACTTATGGGACCCGAGGGAATAGCTACTTCCTGGTGGAGGTACTGGTGAACATTTATAGAGGGAGGCTGTGAACGGCAGGGAGGAATCCATTCTGAGATCTTGGAAAGGAATAGGAGGCTTTTACCTGGGACACAGCCTGGAAAATCACCGAAGACTTGAAGTTTGGGAGTGTGGTTCCATGAACTCTAGTGGTTTGCTTGTCTGCATTTTTTTTTTTTTTCGGAGAGAGAATTCCTAGGCATTTGTGACTCAATAACTAAAATATTCAGAAACTATCACTTTGGAATTTAGAGGCAGGAATAGCAGCCTATGGGAATGACTCCCAGGTCAAAGGCTGGGGATGCTGGAATATCACCATGGTGCCTGCCTGCTGAGCCTTTATGACAGAAGACCCAAGTGCCACTTATTGGTCAATATGACCTAATTATAAGGCTCAAATATTATGGACCAGATAGAAATACCATGCATTCTTAGCACTTAAAAAATGTGTGCCCATTGCTGGACATGAGAATGCTAAGTCTCAGGGGTATGGGATTGCATAAACAGTCCCAGGAAGTTTACTGTTACAAGATACAGATACAGAGATAATGTGGGGGTGAAAGGGAAAAGAATCAGAGACCTTAGTAGAAATCTCATTTAAAGAACTTGGATGTGAGAAGGAGAGATGGCTAGTGTGAATTCTTAGCCACACATGCAATGGAAAAATTATGTGGACCAGTATTCAAGACTCAAATAAAATAAAAGTTTATTATAGGAAAGAGACACAGTAGAGATGGCCACTTCACAGAGAGCAGCACTAGACAAAGGCACATTTCCTATTTATGGGGTCTCATCCTGGCTTCCTGTGCATCTTTCTTCCTTATCTGAGGAAGTGCATTAGCCTGCTTATTTGATTAACCATTTCCTTACTTTGCTTCTCTTATCATCTAAAAGTGCAGCTGCTTACTTTTTTCCTATCAGATGGTCATTCCTGTTAGCTCCCTGCCTCATCTGGAGGGAGCACAGAGTCCAAAAGAGCCTTCAGGAGGCTGAGGGAAAAGGGAGCAGCTGGAGACTTAGGAAAAAGGGGGATATTTATGAGAACAAAGGCACTGAGTTGGTGGGGGAGTCCTACCTAGTTAGGTGAAGGAATTAACCTCTTCTTCAAAGGTATCAGATGAGTAGAGATATAAACGTTGCAGAACATCTTTTGTTGTTGTTGGCCTTTATGATTATTTTCTGCTGGATAGGGAGTAGGTTTATCTGCAAAGCAGTGATGCCTCAAGTGGTTGCTATGAGGGGAGGGATAAGAAGACCAACTAGATCATGAAGTCTTAGGCAGGATAAGACTACGGTGTCATCTGTCTTTGCAGATAGGCCCCTTTCTGCAGCTTCACTCCATAGCCACAGCCAGAGAAAGCCTAGGAGGATAGGGATGGCCTCAGTTGGGGGTAATCCAAATGGGTGTGACAGAGAAAGTGGGGAAAAACAAATCAAAACAAGTACCATAGAAAGGTTGAGGTTATGAGCAGGGCTGTTGAGGTTTAGTAAAGAAAAATATAGACAGGAGGACAATAGTTTGGGAAATCTTGGAAGGGTCAAGGAATTCATCATCTTGTGAGGACCAAAGAGCAGGTAAATTAAAGAAGGAGGAGAGAAACTATGATCAGATGGAAGGACCTGGCAGCATAAGATTTTGCAGCTGAGACTATGAAGTGAAAGTGTTTTAGCTAGCATTATAGCCAAATAAAATCAAGATCTCAAGCTAAAGTAACTACATGGAAGATTCATCTGGCAGCACATTAAAGATGGATTAGGGCAAGAAAAATGCAGCTGGGCAAGGATGATGGAAGGGAATGAACTAAAGAGAAAAAATTTTAAAAACTCATTAGAATTGGTAATGTGATATACACAGGAGCAAGTAAGATGGTGGGAAGTAGGTGCAGAAGCTATCGAATGAAGTTCTAGATGTACTGAATTCCAGAAGGAAGCATGCTCAAGTGGAAGCAACCAAGGAACAGATTTAGATGAAAGCTCAAACCCGCAGGGATGAGGATTTAAAGATATGAACTTAGTAAATGGTATCACATAAGTAAGAACCAGTCAAGGATGAAGCTGTGAGGAGGAAGAAAAGAAGTTATTAGAGGAGACATCAAGAGAATTATCCTGCAGACAAGAAAAGAATAAACAGGAGACAGTTCTGAGAAATGGAGAATTTTTTAAGAGAGGTGATCTACAGTATGATATGAAGCTAAGAGCAAGACAACTGTATAAGCATTGATAATTTGTCCAAGGATGGCTTGGTGATCTTTGATAGAATCCTGTTAGTAGAATAGTTTGAGAGTGAAGTCAATTTCAGGAGATTCAGACAACAGAGAAAGGTATAGTGTTCAGTTCATGTCACTGAGAAACACAAGAAGTGAGGTTCTGTATGGAGGTCACCTACCTGTGTCTTAAAGGACACCACTAGGACATGATTTCCACCATGAAAAAATCTTTCAATGAAGAAACCAAATACAAATCTCCTTTCCCTATTTTACAGGTGAAGTGCAGAGACCAAGATTTTCATTCAGGAACTTTTGGTGGCATCCTTAATGAACCAATAGCTGACTTGGTTGCTCTTCTCGGTAATACCTTATTTTATTTCCCTTTGTAAGCATCAAGAAATCTCCTTTGGTTTCTGAACCAGCTCTGAATAAGGGTGTAGTACAAGAAAAACCATATTCTTAGCTTTCCCTCACCTTGGCAGGATAATGCCTATAATTAAGCCCATGTTATTTGTTTTCATGGAGTGAAGCAACTCCATTGGATATTGTTGCACATCTGGCCATACACAAGGATGAGAGTGTAGAGACCCAAAAGATTCAAGAGACTGAAGCTATCCACGGTTCTCTCTTTATAGTGGCCATAGTGACACTTCTGTATCCCTGGCATGCCATTTTGACTGCTAAGTCCACAAAGTGGTGAACAAAGGGGAAAGGTCCTAAGTGCTGTGGGAAAGAGGCACTCCAGACTCTCACAGAAGCCTCTAGAGTCATGCCATAGACAAAAGTCCTTCACCAACCTAGCTCTCAGCACTCAGGGACTGTGCATCTTAGCATATGGGTTCTATGTTATCCTTGCTTTTTCACAGACCAGCTGCATGACAGTGGGCACGTTTCCAGTCTAGTCTTCAGTTTTCTCATTTGCAAACTGGCATAGTCATATACTTACCTATTTGATTGTTGCTTTGAGGGTCCCAGAAGATGATGCATATAGAACACTTACTACAGTGCTGCAGCACAGTGCGTCTGTCGATGACTAAAGGTCTACCAGCCTGAGGAAGAAGTTATTTTTATCGAGGACTCCAGTGATGGTGCCAAATGAGTCATTCTGCTTGGCTTCTTCTTCTTCCTTTTTTTTTTTTTTAACCAGGAATCGAACTCAGGCCCTTGCTCTTGCGAGGCAGGCGGTAAAACCACTGAGCCAGATCCCTGGCCCTTGGCTTCATTTTTAAGGTTGCTGTGGCTTTGACACAGGGATGCCATATGTTTGCTGCTTGCACCCAACATCAAAGTTCTGCCCTTGACCTCCTCTGGGGTGACTGATGAGTGCAAATGGGTTTTTTCAGGCAGCAAATGTGCCTGGGCTTGATCTACTTGATAGCTTTTCTCTGCATCAGGGATGCCCAAGGTAGCTAAGGGAGGTTAAACGTCATGATCCTTACTTTCAGGAGCCCCTTCCACAGTGCTGGCAGGAGCAGTCACAATTTTATATTCACCCTTTCTTTGAAAAATGGGTTTAATTGCCAGGTGTGGTGGTGCTGTAATCCCAGCACTCAAGAGGCTGAGGCAGGAGGATCACCATGAGTTTGAGGTTAGCCTGATGTGCACATTGAGTTCAAAGCCATCCTAAACTACAAAGTGAGACCCTTTCTCAAAAATTAAAAGAAAATGGGTTTCACAAATTAAGCTTCAGGCACCACAATACCTGAATTTCCCTCCTCTGGATCTTCTAGTTCTTTTTGCAAATTTTATCTTGTGCCCATTTTGGGCAAATTGCCAAAAGCATGCGTCCATCCCTTTGGCCTTGGTAGTGCCACACAGGGTATGATCATCTCATGTGGCGTTTGGGGGTGGGGAGTATCCTCAAGGACTCCAGCACCATCTGTAGTTGTGGAGCTGCCTCCTTCATTGCCTCAAACTGAATAGTGAAATGATCCTATATTTCTGTCATTCATTCATCTGCCTACTATTATTCTATGGCCTAGTTTTCCTAAAATGTAACTTTTAAATAGAAAATCCCATACAGACAGAATACAGCATGGTATTTTCCTTAAAAGAATTTAACTAGTTCACAGACTAATTCAGATTGAATGTAATTTAATTTTGGTTAGGGGGCATGGTTTTCTACTTTACTAGAATGAATTTCCTCTTTCCTAGGAACTGCATCACCAAATCTTCATTTCAAGTCTGTCCTCCAGCATCATGGCTGCATGACATTTATTTAGAATGTGTGGCTTTAATCTAGCATACAATATTTCATTTACCCTCACAGATGCACATTGAATGGAATGAAAAAAAATAGCTTTATGTTTTTAGTTTTTGATACAAATCAAATAGACCATGACAAAGTAATTTCTGGATTATGCCCTCTCTGGTTTTCATGTTTTATACAAAATCAAAGGGATATAGGGTTAAGCGTTAGGGCCAGAGAAGTAGGAATTTTGCTTGCTGGCATGTTGAGTTGAGGTACAGATCCCCAGCAGCATGTTGACCCTTATGTCTCTCTCAGGGCCACTGCTAATCACAATGCCAAAGGGGAGCTGGCCTTGCTGTCCTCTTCTGCTGGCCAGCAGGTAGTATGGGTTCACCAGAAGACCATGAATCCAAGTCTCCCAGCCTCTGTCCATCTTGGGTGCCCATCTGAATGATCCAGATGACCATCACTATTATTGACAGCATCAAATGATAACTGAACACACATTACTTAAGCATAGGATGATCTCCACAGGGTTTAAAAAGCAAGGTCACATAAATCTCCTGTCTCCAAAGAGGCTTAACACTCAATAGGAGAGGTAAGGTATGGGGGAGGGACAGGAATATTTGGGTTCACAAATAGAGCTCTCACCTCTGTTTCCCCTTTGCAGACTTTTGACTCTGTTTTTCTAAAGTCACAAAGCAGAAAAGATGGTTGACCCAAGGGTGTTTTGGACAACCAAGTACTATCTAGTGTTATTTAAATGTTAAAATTTCAAGGCACTCCTGGGGATCAGGGTTATGCTTCCCATGAGCATCTTCAAGGCAGCACTCTCTGCCTCCCACGCATTTCTCAGGATGGTGGAGGTGGCTGTGGAATTTGCATTATGTTCTGAGGAGCATGATTTCAAGTGGAAAGGGAGCAGGATGGGAAGGAGTGAACTTTTGTTTTTGGTACCAGGGATTGAACTCTGGCCCTTGCGATTGCAAGGCAGGAAGCAGAACCACTGAGCTAAATCCCCAGCGCTAGGGTGTGAACTTTTTTTTTCTTTTTATTGAGTTTATTGGTACAATCTAGGTATACAATACAGTTACGTTCATCATTGGGATCTTGTACCTTTACATGACAGGTCTTGATTCTCATTTTTTCGGCCTTGTCCCTGCCCTCCCTTCACCCCCTCCTCCTCTCCCCATTTGCAAACACTTTATTTCCATTAGGCCTTGTCCCTGCCCTCCATTCACCCCCTCCTCCTCTCCCCGTTTGCAAACACTTTATTTCCATTTTTTCAGTTTCTCATATTTTTTTCCTCTCCCTTATTACCTTTCCCCCACCCTTCCCACTTTCCCTACACCTTTAGCCCTTTACTTACTATTTCGCATTATTAATTATCTCATTAGGATCCTGTGTACTATTATAGTTTTAGGGTATGAACTTTTAAAATGATGCTGAGAACTGAGGCCTGGGATGTTTACTGGCCATGTGCAGTGAGTGCTGGGAAAGCGAGTTCTGCTCAAATCCTGTTAGTAGGGCCTTATGTGTATTACACATTTTTGTAGCTCTGTCCTCAATAGGAGACTGTTGGCAGAAGTATAAGAATGGGCATCAAAGAAAAGATTTAGTGTTTGCATTATTAGTAGTTTTTTTATGATTCTGGTGAAAATGAGAGAGGGTAGATAGCGAATGATGATAGCATGTCCCAGTCTTTCAGCGCCAACTTATTTTTATGCTTGGATCTGACTAATGGAGTATGAATCACTTAGTCAGGGTACAATACAGTTAACTGGATTAATAGGAGTTGAGTGGGGATTTTGCAACTCAGCTTCAGAGCACAGTGGTCTCTACTACTGTCCCTATAACGTGGTCATAGAAGGAGTAGAAAGTCTGGGGGAAGCACTGTGAGACTAGGAGAGAGACTGAAGAAAGAGTTGGCCTGAAAGCAGAAAAGTGGTGTTTTCCCTTCATGCTCTGCTACCTTAGACTTTGAACACAATTCAAGCCTTAAACTTAGATCCCTTGAGATAATTCTCAAATTGCTGGGAAGCCTGTTACATATGACACTACCTCCATGCCTGTAGATTTTGTTAGGGTGCTTTGTTAGGGTGAATTGTGTCTACACAAAGGCAAGCAACCTGCTCCCATGGCAACAGACTTGTTACTTCGTGATCAGAGATGGTGACCTCACTGGTGGAAGGTTGGGGTTATCTTGTGTGTCTTCACATCCCAGCATTGATCTAGCACCTAGAAAAGAGGAGGTGTACAATAACTAGCCATTATAAATCTTCAAGACATGCTTTGTAATTGTTGACTTTAACAGGAAGATCTTAAGAGTGTCTCAGAGTAAAATTCCTCCTCTGACACTGTCAAATTATAATCATATTATACAATATGGAATGTTATTTATGAAGGGTTTTTAATTGAATAAAGTGTATCTAGATGGATTGAGTATTAATTTAACTGACTCATTTTTGTGTTATTTTATTCACTCACTTCAGGTTGCATTTATCTTTGATGTGTGTTTACTAAATCTCAGCATCAGCTTCTTTTATGGATGTTTTTCTCCACCCTGATTGATTCCAAAACTTTCATAAAGAGTAGATTAGTATATATACTCATTTACTATAAAAGATTCTGTGATCATGATAGATTAGACTTTAGGGGTATTATGCCTCTGATTAAAAATGAGAATTATACTATTAAGGGGGAATATAAAGGAGACATTTGAGAAGGGATGATGGAAATCTTGAGTTTCTCACTTTGTACATATATATTTTAAACTTTTTATAATTAACACATTACTTTTTAATTTAGAAACAATGAACAAAAACGAACCTTGTTTATGAAACAAAAGGTATGATTGAGAACTTGAACATTATGCCCTGATAAAATTTATTGTAGGGCCAGAGATTTAGCTTAGTGGTTCTGCTACCTGCCTCACACAAGGATCCGATCCCCAGTACAAAAAAAAAAAAAAAAAAAAATTATCA